CGCTGGGAGTAATTCTTTGTATGCCCTTGTGCTTTTACAGTTAATGAGTAGAGACTAGGCCTCAGTATGGAGGTTATGAACATAATAGCAATCTCACACACGACTGGGAGTCTGAAGACTCGGCTTTTAATCCCATTTTGCCTCAGACTGACTATGCAAGTTGTATAGGGCCCATCTTTTAGCTCCCAGCCTGGATAGCTATAGCTATCTACACCCTTCAGAACTGTACCAGCTATTATTTGCCAGTGCAGAAAGACATCAGGCTAAGGACCCTCTTTTCATCCAGTTGCTCCTAGCTAGGGTCCCTTGAACCACCATAAATGTTTCTTCTCCCTCCTGGGCACTAGACCTTTCAGATAGCTGTTGACAGAAACTATTATTTATTAAACATTTATGTGGGTTAGTAAATTTCAATTGAACTCTACCAACAGATAGAAAACCACACATTCCTTGCCCTCAAAGACCTTACAGACAAACAAGACAAGATACAGGACAACAGGGCAGAAGAAGGAATCAGGAGAGGCCGTGTGGAGTTGCGATGGACTCGAGGGAGGAAGGCGTACTTGAAGACGAGGGATTGCTGGAGGAGGGGGTGTTCGCTTGGTGGATGAGGAGCGGGATCATTCCATGTATAGGAGATAGCTTTGTACCTTCTATCCTACTGAGAGGGAAAAGAAGAAAGCTGGAGGAGTGAGATAAGAGAATGGGAAGCGAGAGGTGAGAACAGAGATAGATGGGGCCAGGTTGTGCAGAGACTTGCGCGGATGAAGAGATTGAATCAGATATGTTAAAATCTGGGAGGCCAATGGAGGGATTCAAAAGGGGTGGGAGGAGGAAGAGAGGAAGATGGCTTTAGCAGCAGCCTTTTGGACAGACTGGAGGAGGGAAAAGGCAAAGGCAGATAGGAGAAGATTGGAGTAGGAGAAAAGCAGGGTGTGCACATGCCCCTCCTTAGTTGCTGCTTTTGGGAGTCTTTCTCAAATGATTTCTAGCAGTCTAGACCAAGCTTTTGGGACCCAGCCTCTGACCACGACAAGAGGTTACAGAGTTGCGCTTGTCTCAATGGTTTGCTATGGTTAAACCTCCACATCCTCTGAGTTGTGACACCAGACATCAGGAGTCTTTGTAACAAGATCAGGAAATATGACACACAAGTTCTGAATCAGAGCAAATAGACGCATCTCATTTCAGAGTTGGCTCACGGATGGGTAGAGATCAGATCGGCTGTAAGAAATTCCCTTTATTGTGCAACTTGTTATTCACGCTAGGGTGAAAACAGTTTCAAAGGTGATCCCGTGCACTCTGAGGGATATCTTCTTATAGCTAATGTACTTTATACAAACCAAATTGGTTTTTGCTTCAAACGTCTCTCCGCAAAGGAAAAATCAATTTCAGGTTACAATGGCTGTGATCTTTCAAGCTAAGGATCCATTGCAAATGTGCTAAGCGGTGGGGATGAGGCGTTGTGTAGCCTGAATGTGTAAAGGGCATGTTCACGCACGTGCTGTGCTCAGATCAAGGTTCGGGTTTTAACCCCCACAACGCTGGGGGTTAAAATACATCATTAAAGATACTGGAAACTGACCTCTGAACAGGCTTGGATCATTTCTACAAAGCTGAGATGAGGAGCTGCATTACCGAGCTTCCTCTGCAGAGAGACACAAAGACACACTTGGGGGGCTTTCATTGTTCAAATCATGTCTCATTGGCCACAGTCTGTTTGCAGCATGCTCAGTAATGCATGAATAAAGTATGATGCAAACATACTGTACCTTTAAGAATGGAGGCATTGCAATGCAGACCAAAACCCCAAATCAAGTAGAATTGGAGTTTCGTTACAAACCTGGAACTTGGGCCAAGTTCATTTTGACCGTGGGAGGGCTGAAACAGGACTGAATTTTGGCTTCAGGTGGAAGTGATTTCAATCCATAACTACAGGGATAGATTGCAGCTGACCCTACCTGCCCGCTAGGGGACTGAGGCAAGATTTCTGTTGGTGTTAGGGTTTCAGAAAACTATTAACTTGGGACCAGACCTGACCCAACACTGTCCTCCCTTTAAATACATGTTTCATATGACATTGTGTGCTTTTTGTTGTGCACAGCTAGATTCAGCAGAGATATATTTACATGAATTTTTCACATTAATCTACTACATGGCTGTGTATGTGTATTATATACAGGGGGAGACATCAGTTAACATGGCGACATATACAAAGAACAGGTGTGTGTTTGGTGGAGAGGAGTTTTGAAAGGGGGTTGAACAAACATATACGTGAATGTGGACCATATCTTTTGTCAATGACAAAGCACCAATTTGGGTTTCCTTAATTGGGCTAGCTGTTATTTAGCACCAAAGATGTAACGAAGCTAGAGAGAAAAAGCAGCAGTCTTACCGGCAAACATCCCAGCAGCTCAAGCACACCTCCAGCTTCAACCTAATCCAGATTGTCATTAGACTCAGAGAGCACGTGCAAACCATCAGCTGTGACAGTGTTTTTACTCTTAAATGGTTCCTAGGCACTTCTAGCCAATAACACAGCAGACACTTGGAAATTCTAACTCCATTAAAGTTGGCCCCTGGGGCTTCAGTTTAATCCAGTGATACTCAGGCCTCAGTGCTTCAGGAGCCAAATTAGTGACCGACATTACCCCAAACAGCCACAGTGGTGTCAATTCATTGTTTCATTTACTATTTAGATATGGATAATTCTCACAGCAAAATGACTGACCAAGTATTCTACAATTGGCTATTAACATAGTAAAAGCATCCTAATTGATTAATAATTAAATCACACAATGTTTTAATATCATGTGCTGAAAAGAGCCTGTCACGGAGTGTGGGGGAGTCAGGGCTCTGCACCCCCCACTTCCTGCGATTCACCATGACTCTCAGCCAGCCAGTAAAACAGAAGGTTTATTAGACGACAGGAACACAGTCCAAAACAGAGCTTGTAGGTACCGACAACAGGACCCCCTCAGTCAGGTCCATCGTGGGGGGCAGGAAGCTTAGACCCCAGCCATGGGGCGCTCCCTCCATTTCCCCAGCCAGCTCCAAATGGAAACTCCCCAGCCCCTCCCCGGCCTTTGTCTCTTTCCCGGGCCAGGAGGTCACCTGATCCCTTTGTTCTCCAACACCTTCAGTTGGCACCAGGGTGTCGGCCATTCTCTGTGCAGACACCATCACACTGGCCCTCTCGAGCTCTGCAACAATCACACCCCCTTATCCCACCACCCTAGATACTTAAGAAATGCATAGGGGAAACTGAGGCACCCACACAATATTCAGTGAAAACATGAACATTCCCACTTCGTCACAGAGCCACTTGTGGATCCCAAGCCTCTGTCAGAGTAACACTGGTTTAACCTACCTGCACATGTACCAGTATTATTTAACCCAACAGCTGATGGACTAAACATTGTGTAAAACTCTCTCTATGTAGATAACATTGAAACCAGAGCCGAGAATGTAATTAAGAATAATTTATCCAGAAAAATCTAGTTGTGAATTGACCCTTACCTTTAGCAGTTCATGATTCTCTTGAATTTGTTATTAGAATTGTTTTCTTTATAATGTCTATGAATAATTCTTGGTCTGTAGTTTGATGTCTGAATAGCCAATGTCCAAAATATGAATGGGGCAGGTTAAATTTGATAGGACACATGAGTCCTATTGTAACTAGGGTTAGTTCTAGGGGAAGGCAATGAGGGCAGCTGCGCTGGGTGGCAACTTCAAGGGGGAGCCATACCACTTGGCTTTTTTTTTTTTTTTTTTTGCAAAACACCTAGGGTGGCTCCTCATTGTAACCCCTGTGGCCAGTGGTTTATCTGTCTGATCCATAAAGGATGTGAGTCTGTTACAGCAATAGAACCTGGCTCCTTAGCTCAAGCTATAGAGATTAGCATCCTTTAGCTCTGAAGGTTGCTCATATAGTGTGCTGGACAAGGGGGTGGCTGCCAACATATGGTATAATAAATAATAACACTTAGCATTTAGCTAGCACTCTACCTGTTCAAAGCACTTTACAATCATTAATACGGTAAGTCTCGCAAAACCAGTGTGAGATAGGTATATATTATTCTTATTTTACAGATGGGGGAGCTCAGGCAGCACTGAAACCACTACTGCAATTAGTAGAAGAAGCAGGATTAGAACTCAGTACATTGACACTTAGGCACTTTCCTCGGGACCACATTCCCACTCCATGTTAAGTCTTTTCCATGACTGGATAATTATAAATCTTCAAAGCAGAGTTCCTGTGTAGCTCTTTCATTTCTGAGTTATAAATTCACTTTCCATTTATTTTCCCCGACAACTGAGTAAAATTTGGTGTTTCAGCCACTGCTCTTGGCCTTAAACTCAATTGCTATGCTACTGACAGAAGGTGAAGGCAAAATAGGGTGACCAGATAGCAAATGTACAAAATCAGGAAGGGGTGGGGGGTAATAGGCGCCTATATAAGAAAAAGCCCCCAAAATAAGGACTGTCCCTATAAAATCGGGACATCTGGTCACCGTAAGGCAAAATGGCCTGAAATCAGGGGAACCAAATTATGATTTTGGGGAGGTGGGGAGTGTTTGTTTCCCCGCTTCACAACATCTTTCAGATTAGCTCTCATTAGGACATCAATCTATTCTATAATTATATTGTTAACATAACTTGTTCACCCAGGGTAGCTCATTTTAAAAGCAGCAGAAGGTTTGTCCTTCTTTGAGTTTCTCGCTTTGTTTCTCGTGGATCCAATTTTCTAGACGGCTTCCACTCAGGCACAAGGACAAGTGACTTACCCAAAGGTCACAAGCCCAGCCAGGATTAGAACCTTATCTTCTCTTCCTCGATCAGTGTAAAAAGCTGCCAAATAATATTGCTGCTGAGAGCACAGGTATAAATATTAGAGCCTATTCAGACACCTTGTCAAAGGGCTCCCAGCTCCCGGTTTATGGCAGGTGGAATCATAATAAATATGAAGGGGAAAAACAAACATAAAAAAAGCAAGTTAATCAGTAGCCAGAATATTTTAATAAGGTAATTAAACCTGTGGGGTAGAGTTGGATTTCACCAACACTTGCTTTTCTACTGACACCCAAAGCAAGGCTTTTCATGAGAGAGAACATTTGCAAAGTGCTGGAGAGTTGCATGACTGCTCATACTGAGTTTCATGGGAGTCGTGGTGACATTGCTCTAAATATACTGCTGATCAGAGGGCTGATCTCGCGCTCTGGGCCACGAAACAGGCTTCAGATAAAGGGCTGCATGGTGGATGTGGGGGATGGACTCATCCCTCCAGGCTGCTCTGTGGTGGCTTCTGCAGCCTCAGGACTGCAATATACTTTGCAGCTGCTGTGCCGACACTAGGTGGGTGGAGGGCTGGCTGATGCGTTGTTGCAATTCCACACCTACATCCAGCTTCTCTGTGCCAAGCCTCCTCACTGGAGCCTGATGGAGCACCTGTGTGGCACAGCTCCACAGTCACAGGGGATGCAGACCCTATCTTTATGCTCTGTCGCCTGCCCCCAGCCATCTCACAGCAATTGCACTGCAATTAGAGCCTTCTACAGACCTGATTTGGCCCAGAGGGTTAGGCCCCTGGAATAGTATTCAGATCTACCTCACCATATCAGGGAAGTGAAGTGAATTTGAACCAAGAGCTTCTTCTAACGTACATCTACACACCTATACATAAATGCAAATGCACCTACACTTCACATCTATACACAAATGCAGATGCACACACACATATGTACCTACACGTAAATGGACACACGTACACTAACACACATATATACACATACACAAATGCACGTGTACACATGTGCAGTGAGGTAGCACTTTGATTTTCTGCTAAGGTGAAAAACAGGGTTTGTTGTCCAAAACACTGGTTTTGGCCATCAGCAACATGGATGTTTTGAACCCACGGTGGAAAATGATTTGTTAGATGCACAATAGTTTCTTCACCCAGTTCTGGGCGGGAGCAAACCTGCTAAAGCAGAGAACTCCAGATTTAGAACCCACAGCCAAGCTGTAAATCGATTGCCTGGAGAACGCTGGAGAGCAGCAGCAGTTCTTACCAAAAAAGGCAAAGGCAGCATTTTGTCTGCTTATTTTGCAGGGAGCAGAAACGATGCAGCATCAAGGTATCACACTGCAAACACGACACAGGTGGGTTCAAGGTAAAACCCAAGCATTTGAGGGCTGCTTCGCCTCTGGGCCCCTCCCATCACTATTAGACGGTGAATTATTACAGCCTACCTGTCATTTGCAGCGGGAAAAACAGTTACGATAGTCACTGGCTCAATTAAATAAGGTAACCAGCAAGGGCATTGACAGCTTTGTGAATTGGGTTTTCTTTTTTCCCCGGTTCTATTTTTAATTGTATTGTTTCCCATCGGAAAGCTAAGCAATGAAAATGGTGCAATGCACTGCTGTGAAATGACGGCTTCCTTGAACCCTTTCACAATTCAAGTCCTTGAGGTTCACCCCATGATGGCGTGTTTGATTAGTAACCTAGTCTGCAGCAGATGGAAAAGCATATATACCCTGGGACCATGTGTAAATAACAAGAGATATGCTGGTGCTGCGCTTGATGCTCAGATGATTTACATGCATGACTCCCTCCAGGCACGCATGGGAGAAGCTAGTGCAGAGAAATCCTATCCCTAGCACTATATCCAAGAAGGTGGGCTGGGCAAAGTGGATAATGGGGTGCTTCACCTCCAGGTCACAGGTTTGAAGCCGGCACAGAGGATGGGACTTTTGTAGGAGCTTATGTGATTCAGGAGCACAAATCTCATTGACTTTCAAGTCACTTAGACCTTTTTGAAAATCCCATCCAGCGTTTGTTCTCAGAAGACATCTGTGCGGGGGCCTATGTGGAATGACTTGGTGAGTCCTATGCTGTTGGAAAGTCCTACTCCCCCATCCTCTTTTGCTATGCTGGGACCTAACCTGAAGACTGGCTCAGAAAGGACTGTTTCCCCTCAACTTCACATCCTGGGGTCTCCACTTCCCTCTCCCACTGAATCCCCTCACCCCCCACAACCATTATGTTGGCATTTTACCTCTGGCCAATGCCTGCTTCCTGGAACCTAAACATGTCACCTCTACCATACCCATGAGCACTAATGGCCACAGGGGAGAGAGAACCCTCAGGGATCTCCTGAGCTGCGGCTTCCTGCTCAGTGATGCAGCTGGGGGAATCCCAAATCCTTCCTTCCACACTCACATTCTGGGAGGCAGCAACAGCATTGGGGTGGTTTTCCCCTCTCCTGCTCTCTACAAAAGCCCTCTGCGTGACTCCCACCTGCATCTGTACCATGCAGAAAGAAGCCCCATCCCCTCAGGCCCCAGGGTCTTATGCTAGCACCAGCTTTTGTATTAAGCAGATTGGAAAACGCAAATATGGCACAATTACCTTCAAATAGCAAAATAGTACTTGGGTGATGTGTGGACATTTGAGTTACGCCAGATGTGAAACACGAGACATGTATTGAGGTTAATGGGGAATACTCAATGATCTTGGCTTGCCTGGGCCATTCAGACAGAAGAAGTAACAGTGTTATTGCTCCCCTCATGTTGTCAGAAAGATTTGTAGATTTAGGGCGCTCAGATATTTGGCCCCCACGGCATGGTTTGCTGGGTTCCATGCCTGGAGAGCAGAGAGCGGTGCAAACCCCCCCGTCATCTTAATTCTGGTGTCATGCATCAGATGACAGCATGGGCTCTCTGTACGCCATGTGTACAGACTATATACAAACAGGATCGTGCAATATAGCTTCATTCTAGCTGCCTGCAGAAGTCAAGCTCATTCACATTCATGAAAAGTGCAAAGATTACTTGGCATTTTCCGCTCGTCCCCCAGGCAACCATTTTTATCTCCCTTTAGCATCTCCTTCCCCCACCCACCAGCCTCCCCGCCACCCATGCGGCCAACTAGGCACGTGTCTCATTGTGTCCAGGTCTCCACTTTCTCTCCAAGGCTCTTCTACCAAAGTTTCCATCTTTGCAGTAAAACAATAAATACTGTACACACCGTATTTCAGTAGGGCCGTCCTCAGGCCTCAGCCAGGACTCAGTGTTATTGAAAGACATTTAGGGATTGGTTGTGTGTACTCATTAACTCTATCACTCCAACTGGCCACTAACTGCAGGTCACAGCTGACATCCCTTCTTCAACCTGGAGCTCCGCCGCCTAACCCTTTTTTACTCCTGCTCCCACCTCACAATGAACAAGGGCGCCCAATGGTTTTGCTGTTGAGTTCCCAACAGCCTCTGCTGTGTGCCATGGCTGCTTCCGATGAAGCTCTCGTGGCTGGTTTTGCTCGATGACTGCCATAGGCGGTCAGGACATCACCATGTCCCAGCGCTGACTCATGGCTGTGCTCTCACAAGGGTTGATGACGAGCTCTCTGGTGCTCTCGTTGGTGTCCCCCATCATTTCAGTGTCCAGGCAGAAGCGCGAGGCCATGTGCTCAATATGAGAACCAACTTTACCCCATCGCTGTGCAGGGAAACATGGGAAGAGGGATATGAGTGAGGGCTCAGGGGATGGCGCTAGCAGTATCAACAGCGGTATAACAATAATCACCCTTTAGATATACTGCTGGCTCAACCCAAGCTGCAGCAAGTACCAGGAGATGGCAGAAGATATTTAAACAAGGAAATCATTCGATTCTGCTTGCCCTGGTCCTAGGAGGAGCTAAGCACCCACAGCTCCCACTGAAGTCACTGAGGACACTTCACAATCCTTGTCAGCAGTATTCATGTTAGGTGGTAGCCTCTTCCTAGCTGCCAGGCTTCAAAAAATAATACATCAACAAAGGTTTTCTCCTCTAGGTCTGTGGTTCAAACGCCACCCAGAACATTAACTCCTGAAACATGGTAGCATCTGATGGCTGGCAGGCAGCCTGTGTGCAGTGAGCTGCTGGTTTCAGTTGGGTTTCTAATGGGCAATGTCCTCATGGCCAGCGGCATTAAGAGCCATGCTCACTGACACACTCAACTGGGAGGCCAAGGATTGAATGGGCCATAGAGACTCCACTGCCGCTAGCGCAGTATCTCCAGGACCCAGAACGCACTGGTGGGATGATGTGGGGGAAGCTTATACTGCCATCACCAGTGCTGTACCTGCTCTGGGGATAAACAGGACTCCAGGGCTGTCAAAGACAGCAACAGATCAATCAAAGACTTACCTGTTTGCCGTCACTTTCTTTGCAGGGTGACAGCAGCACTTGGGAGCCCGGGAAGAGGGTGTGCACTGACAAGCAGAGCTGCTGCTGGCGGACCTGATGGTTGTATGTGTACGTCCATTCCTGGAAGGAGAGAGAGGAGAAACCAGGACAAAATCAAACTCATTTTTTAGCATCCTTTCACCCTGAAAGGTGGAAACGAAACAGTCTCAAGACCTAGGGAGAGCTGCTGGGAAAAGGCCCTGTGAGGGGAGGGGCTCAAAGAGAATGAGGGGTGAGGGCAATAGCAGTAGAAAAGATGATCCCTTCTCTCCAGTAGGGGAAGAGAGACAGAAATGGTGCCCTTTCCTTTAAGTGGGATAGGATGCTTCCCCTATGGTGTGGCTGGGGTGAGGAGGAGGACATGATGTGTAGCAGATTTTGCTAGTCACCTGGGGTCTGATCCAGCTCCCATACAGTTCAATGGCCAAACTCCCCCTGATGCCAATGGTGCAGAAGGGAGCCCCAAAGGTTTAAAGCGGTCACACACATTATTAACTAGTTATGGTGCGCTGCCACCATGTCATTCATGCTGATCAGTATCATCTTATCATTTCCCTGTGGTTCTTCCACCCCCTCTGCTTGTTGTAGACACCTGTGGTCTCTCATTTTCTACTTACGTTGTAAGTTATTTGGCACAGGGACTGTCTCTTTGTTATGTTTGTACAGCGCCTAGCACAGTGGCGACCTGTTTCATGACCGCCAAATGGATAGTAATAGGAGCGTGAGATGCCTGGGTCGGGTGGTGCTCCCCCCCTATTCAGGAGGAATTCCTGTCGGCTTCAATGGGACTTACTGCTATCCCTAGAGGGGAGGGTTGAGTGTGCTAGTAGTTATTGGCCCATTAATGCCCTCGCTGTTTTTGTGGCAAGCTTTCTCCCAGGAACGTTTCCCTCTCTGGGCAGGGTTCCTTTTATTCAGGTCTCATCCATTGCTTGCCTCTATGTATATGTTAACCAGGTGTACAAGACAGGAGAGGTGGGAGGGAGCTGATGTTGACTTAGAGAGAAGCAGGGAGGAGCCGCAGCTGTTTACAGATCACCCAGTATATGAGAGACGCTAGACTGAAGTGGGTCAGTGGAGAAGCCTCCAGTGCTTGGAGCAGTGACTTCCAGGCTGGTACTGGAAGATGGAAAGGCTGCTTCATGAAGCCCTGCAACGCTTTGTTAATGCAAAGGGAATTAATGGAGAATGAATGCCCTGATTTTCAGAGGTGCTCAGCACCTGCAGCTCCCATTGACTTTGATTTGTAAAGGTTTCAGGCCGCATTAGTTTGCATTATTATAGAGAAAGAACACCTTCTTCCCTCAATATTGCAACACAATATGGTCAGCAGTTCTAACCCCTTTGATATGAAGATAGACAGCAACAGGTTTTTAGCTCCTGGGCATATACATTCTGTTTGATCTTGGCATTTAGCCACCTAAAAAGAAAAACGTGCATTGTACAAAAGGCCCAAGTTTACAAAGACTTTACACTTTGTCTCACATTTTTGTGCTTCTTAGGACCAGTGTCCACCATCTTCTAACAGAAATCAAAGCTGGCTGCTTAAACAGGCTGCCCGCAGGCTTGTCAGAGAGAATTGCCCAGGATTTCAACACAAGCAAGCAGCGTGCATTTTGGAGACACATACTGCGCCCAAAGGGCCTTTTGGCAGCTCCTTTTTCTTTGTCAGAGTTCACCTCATCCTACAGCTATTGAATTCCAAACATTCTACCGTACGTGCTGTCTGCTGCTGTGCAAGCTACAGGCCTGGGAAATTGTGTGCCAAATTAGTCCTGCATCTGTCAAGAATCAAGCCCCCCGGGGCCAAATCCAACACCTGTTCTTGGCATCTGTACCTCTCATAAACTGCTCTGAAAATTGACGTCACCCTCTTAACCAATTCTTCTTTGAAATGAAGGTGGGCCCAAGCCCAAACCATGGCTCTGAACAGGCCTAACTTTGGGGGAAGTTAACTTTGCACCTCCAACTCATTGCTCTGGGCCCCCACTGACTCACAGAGTATTTCCTTACTACACCAATAGCCCCATTGGCTTCAACTGGACTACTAGAAAAATGTACTATTCCAGTGAGTCTCAGCTTTCTCCACACCAGGAGCTCCTTTCTATACTGCAACCCCACCTCCTTACACACCTCCCCTCTAACCGGGACTAGCCTCCCATTTAGCAATATGGAACGGGTGACCCCTGTGATGAGACGCTCATCCACTACTCTTTGTAAAGCAGTAGACATGAGCCCTTTATAAGCAGGTTTATACAGTAGCATCACAATAGGGAATCCTCAACCGGTTTGAAACTGTGATGGGGGAAGGAGAGGGGCAATAAGAACCAGTTTCAAAGTCATCATGATCCAAGCCTCCTTTCTTAAGGATTGGATTGGTAATGGGAGAACATAAGAATGCTCATACTGGATCAGACCAATGGTCCATCTAGCCCAATATCCTGTCTTCCAACAGTGGCTGGAGCCAGCTGCTTCAGAGGGAATGAACAGAACAGGGCAACTATTGAGTGATCCATCCCCTATTATCCAGTCCCAGCTCCTGGCAGTCAGATGTTTAGGGACACCCATAGCATGGGGTTGCATCCCTGATAGGGTGACCAGACAGCAAATGTGAAAAATCGGGATGGGGTGGGGGGTAATAGGAGCCTATATAAGAAAAAGACCCAAAAATCGGGAGTGTCCCTATAAAATCAGGACATCTGGTCACCCTAATCCCTGACCATCTTGGCTAACAGCCATTGATGGACCTATCCTCTATGAACTTATCTAATTCTTTTTTTGATCCTGGTTATTCTTTTGGCCTTCACAACATCCTCTGGGAATGAGTCCCACAGGTTGACTGTGTACTGCATGCAGAAGTACTTCCTTATGTTTGTTTTAAACCTGTTCCTATTAATTTCAGTAGGTGACCCCTGGTTCTTGAGTTATATGAAAGGGTAAATAACACTTCCTTATTCATTTTCTCCACACCATTCATGATTTTATAGACCTCTATCATATCCCCCACTAGTCGTCTCTTTTCCAAGATGAACAGTCCCGGGTTTTTTAATCTCTCCTCATATGGAAGCTGCTCCATACCCCTAATCATTTTGTTGCCCTTTTCCAATTCTAATATATCTTTTTTGAGATGGGGTTACCAGAACTGCATGCAGTATTCAAGGTGTGGGCATATTATGGATTTATATATTTTCATTATAATATTTTCTGTCTTATCTATCCTTTTCCTAATGGTTCCTAACATCCTGTTAGCTTTTTTCACCACTGCTGCACTTTGAGCAGATGATTTCAGAAAACTATCCACAGTGACTCCAAAAACTCTTTCTGAAGTGGCAACAGCTAATTTAGATCCCATCATTTTGTATGTATAGTTGGGATTATGTTTTCCAATGTGCATTACTTTGCATTTATCAACATTGAATTTCATCTGCCATTTTATTGCCTAGTCACTCAGTACAGTGAAATACCTTTGTAACTCTTTGCAGTCAGCTTTGGATTTAACTATCTTGAGTAATTTTGTATCATTTGCAAATGTTGCCAGCTCACTGTTTTCTCCTTTTTCCCCCCCCAGATCATTTATGAATATGTTGAATAGCAGTGGTTCCAGTATAGATCCTTGGGGGATCCCACTATCTACCTCTCTCCACTGTGAAAACTGACCGTTTATTCCTATCCTTTGTTTTCTATCTTTAACCAGGTACTGAGCCATGAGAGGACCTTCCCTCTTATCCCATGGCTGCTTATTTTGCTTAAAAGTCTTTGGGGAGTGACCTTGTCAAAGGCTTTCTGAAACTCCAAGTGCACTGTATCCAGTGGATCACCCTTCTCCACGTGTTTGTGGATCCCCTCAAAGAATTCTAATAGATTGGTGAGGCATGGTTTTTCTTTAGAAACGCCATGTTGACTCTTCCCCAACATATGGTGTTCATCTATGCGTCTGATAATTCTGTTCTTTACTGTAGTTTCAACCAGTTTGCATGGTACTGAAGAGAGGCTCACCCGGCCATAATTGGCGGGATTGCCTCTGGAGCTATTTTTAAAAATCGGCATTGTATTAGCTATGCTTCAGTCATCTGGTATAGAGGCTGATTTGAGCTCACAGAAGGGCGTAAATGTTCAGAGGCCCCTCTGAACTATCTGAATATCAGGTGGGAAATCTCAAGACAACTCCATGGGCCTGACTTTTTAGACCTGATGATCTCCCACAGCCTGAGCTGAAGTCAACTAAAAAAAAAATCAGACTCTTTGAGAACCGCTTCTCTCGTGGCATTATGGCATTTTCACTTTCAGCCCTAGTGCTGAAAAGGTGCAAGAAAAGGAAAAATACTGGAAAAAATAAAGTGAACTGAACACTTTTGAACTTGTAAGATGCTTTGCTTTGAAACATGGGTGTGGGCAAAGGCCTATGTGGGTTCTTATTTTATCCCATCCCGTCCAACCCTTGTTTGGATCATTTCAGGTAAGTATACCTACTTCCTCTTCACAATAGACCATTTTATCTTTCCCTCAGGTTCTTAATGGATCAGGTAAAGGTAGGTACACAGTAGGGCTGAATACAAGCTTCAACTCTCATATGATCTAGGGCTGGAGGTGCGCAGAGCATTCTGGGATAGCTCTGAACAGGGGAGTCCCCATAGAGTATACCAGATGTAAAGGCAGCAGATTGTCCAGAAGAGGCCACTCTGCAGGCTGAGGGCCTACCACGGATGGGATGTGACAGTAGACATGAGGTGATGCAGAGACTACAGTTACAGCTTTTCAAAGACAAGCCAGCCTCTTGTTACAAGGTGGTGGAATTGTGTTTGTTGGGGGGGGGGGCAGGGGGCTGGATAGAGCAGAGAGGGTCACGAGCTGGTCACAATAAATGGTGATGCACCCTATGTGCTAAATGCTTTCCTCTGAAATCCCAGCTATACTAACTCCAGCTGAGGCTTGGGACTGTTTTTCAAAGCTTTAACATCATTCAAGGAGGCATCTGTCACTGCTACTCAGCATCGTTATGAATTAACAACATGATTTTAAATCGTCACCTTCGGCTTAGTGTAGGCTGGCTGACATATAAAAAGAACGCCTCTCAGCCAATC